TTGGGGCTGCGGGCCCGGGCGGGGCGGGGGCGGGGGCGGGGGCGGGGGCGGCGGGCGGGCGGGCGGTGCTCCCTGCCTTGCCGAGGGCTGCCCGTCCCCCCAGACCGTGTCACACCACGAGATGCGTCCTGCGGTAGGGGCAGGACAGCTAGCCTTGCCTTCAGGATAAAGGCTTGGAAACGGCCCCTTTTTCTGGGTTGCGAGCTGCGTGCCAAACGGGAGCAGGACACCGCAGCACCCATCGCTCGATGGATTGCGGCGATACGTGAATCTGGGAGAACGTGAGGAGGCTACTTCTCCTCAAATTATGTATTTTACGCCATATAAAGCCCTAGGAGTAAATAAGCAGCCAGCAGGATGAAATGGATGCATTGGCTGACAACAAAGGCTGAGACAGCTGCTCCTTGGGAGGCACCCGCACCCTTCCCAAGCACAAACAGGTCAAGCGGTGCTGGGGCACGGGGTGCACCCACAGCACAAAGCCTGGGGTGGAGCAGTGCAAGTGTGTGGCCCTGTTGCTGTCGCACTGCCACCACGGAACAGGCACAGGGATCTGGTTCAAAGCCTTGCCTGCTCCAGGGTTCGACCAGGGGTGGGGTGCTGAGCCTGTTCTTGCAAGCTGGAAGCATATTTCGGGAACAAAATGTTTCAAGAGCCACTTTTGATCATAAACCTGTGATCAAGCACAGAGGGATAAGGTACATGAACTCCGTTCTTACAACCTCTGGAATACTGCCAGCAACTTTCCACTCCACGCCTAGCTACCTCGGTACCTTGGTACCTAGCTACCTTTGCACCTAGCTACCAAGCCAGCCTCTTCTGACTCCTCTCCTTTCCTGAGGGGAGGAAGGCTGGTCCCATATTGCCCTTTGGCAATTATTTCCCAGGGACACCCCACCCACCCAACCACAGGTCTATCATACCTATACCACCAGCTTCTGGCTTTACTCCCTGTTAGTTTGCTCCCAACTTCCTCAGAAGCCTAAGACACATGTTTTCCAAACGGCCATGTCCAGTCAACAACCACAACCAAAAGCAAGCAAAAATCCAGAAGAGTGTGGTGGATGCAGCTCTTGCACATTTCTCAACCAAGACATTCCTGTTGCCACTACAGAATGCTACAGACCCAACCAGAGACAGAACCTTTCTGCACTCTTGTGGGTCTGGTGTAGCCAGGAGGAGCAAAACTGAGTACATTTGAAGTCCTAAGATCAGCAGATCTCCCCCAACACGCAACAGGAAGGAGGCTGAATAAGAGGTTGCCATTTTCCCCATTGCCATCTTTCAGATCACTAATAGCTGCAACATTTTCTAAAGGGAACTAGTAATATAATGTGCAGAGTTAGCACATTTATAAATTCGCTCCCCACCCACCCAAGAGAATGCTCAAGCTCCCTGAAAAGAAGGCACTGTATACCAAACATCAGTGCTGCTGCCAGCTGCCATCACAAGGAAAAGACACCAAATATCCTCCGCTGTGGTAAGGCCATGTAACACCAGAAGGATACTTCCAACACAACCTTGTATCTACTCAGTTTCTAGTGCAATTCCTTGGTTTGGCCATGTCAAGTCCTTGGCCTTTGGTATGTGGTAGAGGTCAGGCACAACCCTCTAAAGAGGCTTTATGAAACTTATGAAAGTTTGCTTTCATAAACAAATTGCCTGAGTCACTAATCCCGCCATAGCTCTGGAAGTCAGCCAGGGATAAACAACTCACTGACACTTCATTTCTTCCTTGCTAACACCCTCCATCAGTAATCATACAAGATACCTTTTACAAAAGCAAGGATCCAACGAAGGCTGCTTAAGTGCAGTTTCTAGAGATTAAACTGAAGCACCGGTGATCTTGTCTACCTTGAAAGCATGTGTCTCGGATAGAAATATCATGGACTGTAAGAAGCAAAAGAAAGTGAACACAGCCTTCTCTGGAAGCTCTCCTTTCCAATCAGATGCAGTGAATATATAGATTCCTTACCAAGTTGATCTTCAAGTACCAGCTTTTGAAAAAAAACCCAAAACTCCACTGATGAAAAAACAACCAACCAACCAAAACCCTCAACAAAGCAATCAAACAAGTAACCAAGATTTAGGTAAAAAAATGAAAAGGCATGGAGAAAGCTGTACTCATGGTCAAAACTTATTTATTCTGAACTTCCCATGAAAGAAAGTAAATTCTAAATATTTTGTGGATGTTGTCAGCTCCAACAGAACAGTCAAAGCAAGGTCCAAGTGTCGGTGGCTGACTTCTGTCAGATTTCTCCTCCTACCTGAGAGAGTTCAACTAAGAGTTACTGCAGGACAAACGCAAAACCCTGCAAAGTTTTTGAAATCAATTAATCCAGAAAATAAAATCAGGGAATTTTAACACATGGGAAATGCACAGCAAGAACCTACTCCCAAAAGGTGATCAGATGCTTTAGTATCTACCAGCTTCAGTGCAAATTGCAGCTGTAGTGCTGGCAGCAGAGGTGTACAGCACACAATATGCTATCTAGAGAACAAAATTACTGGATCTCAGCATAGTGGAATATACATTTTATTTCTTAAAAAGGAAGGGTACTAACAGAATTTAATACAGTCAAAAATTTACATTTTAAACAAAAGCTTTTCTTTTTCTTAAAAACCAGTTACGAGCAGAGAGGTGAGAGGATTTAAACTACTCACAAAATTGAAGCTGAAGACTTTGAGAATTCAAATCTGTGGTTTATACATTTAAAAAAGTGTAATAAATGGAAATATAAAATAATACCAACTCTGTAATAGTGAAATGCCCTTTCCTCATTAGATTGCTGTTTAAGCACCTTTATTTTCACCCATCAGCTGCCAGGAGTGTTTAGGTTTATGTACAAAATAAGCAGTTTGGGACAGAAGATTCATATATAAATTAAAACCATTTATGGCAATACAGTTTTACCCAGCTGCTTTGCAAGCTTTATTATCTCTTTCACTTCTATAGAATCTTTCAGTCATGATGATCTCAAATGCACTTGATGGACTGCTTCAAAAAGCAGCTACAAGAATTTTATAGACAACCTCAAGGAGTAGACATCCAAGAGATTAAACAACTTAACACGCAGTAAAACTATGATCAGACTTATATCTTATATAAATACTGTGCAGATTTATCATCCATCCCACTGAATGAATGGGACAGATCAGTGTCACATCTGAAGACAAAAAAATACTTTTATCCAAGAGGCAACAGAATTTCAGGCCAAATATAGCAGATAGGAGTTCCCTCAAACTATTTAGTTAAAAAATGTGTCTGAAAGAGCTTTAGAGGAACAGAGTTTTCAGAATAACTTGCACATATGATTAGCTATTTCATAGCTATTTTACAGTCTAGAAACATTGAGAGGGGAGGGAAAAAAAATAGAAGAAATTAAAAAGACCTACCATTGTCTCTGCCCACTACAAAAGATGTGGCTTTGTCTTTTATGGAACACTGCAGACACAGCTGTTACCAGAGAGGAGACTGCCCCAGTACAGCATTAAAGACCAAGAAGTTATATTATGACTGGAGAAAGTATCATCACAGGCTAATCTCTTTACATGAAGGCTGATGGATCAATCTCACCTCCACCTCAAAACCCACGTGTTCATATTTCCTAGCTGACTGCTCATGATTCTCACTCCACTGTTTTGGTTTTTTTTTTTCCTTTTAACACAAGATAGAAAAGGTCATGAAAGCTGATTAAAGTTCCAGCTGTGCAGCATCCAGTGAACGTGTACTCAGCAAAACCACAAGTCATTAATCACCTTCTCTCTCCACACCACAGGAAACCTGTGTCATCTATGTACACAATGGAAGTAATAAAGATGTAGACTATCTAGGTCACAAATGAGCTTCAGTAACAGTCACTCATTGTTTCACTGCAACCTGCTGCAGTCTGGCTGAAGGGTGGAGACAGATCTCTTTGAGTCAAAACAGAGAATAGTTAAAAAAACCACACCCAACAAAAACCACCCAGCTTTAGTTTTCCTCAATCACTAAGCTTTACAAATAATTTAATATTGCCACTTTCCAAATGCTACTCACAAACAAATCAACTGTCCAGCTAACAGGATGGGAAGAGTACAATTATGAATGTAATCCGTGACTACTGTTAAAGAAAGATTGGAAGAGAATCAATTCCCTCAAAAATCTCAGTTTCTCTGCTTAAGTAGCTCATTGCTGTTATTATTATTAAAACATTTTTTTTGCTGATAGAAAGCATCACAACTAGACTAGAATTCCACAACATCAATCTTTGTTTTGATTTCTGTAGTTCTCTAGGAAAAAAATAATCCCAAATCAAGCTACATAAAGCATTAACAATATTCAAATATTACAATGGAAGCACTTATTTATTACTTCAGAGAACAGATTAGTTTTAAAAGTGTATTTACATGTTCTAAGTTATACAAAATACAGTATTCCAATAATCATGTTAATCACCATATTTGAGACAACTTCACATAAAAGTGCGGAGGATGCATCCATCCATGATCCTGGCCAGTAGCAAGTGGTCACCCGCAGCATGACAGGTGACACCCGCTATTGTGCCCCCTTGGGAAAACAAATCCCACCATGCCTTCTCACTGAGACATAGCTGCAGATCTAAGAAAACATTCAGGCAGGTACACGAGCAAAGTTTGTTGAGACCCACAGACCAAAATCACATGCCTTAATTTACTAGATGTATGTGAAGTACATTTTTAATTTTTTTTACAGATGTTGTACAGCAAAGGGCTTCTGCTCATGCCTTAGTTAGGAAAATGAAGTAACAAGGGTTTTGGCTATGTAACAGGCACCCAAGTAACACTTAATATCAACAGCCCTATAACTACAACTGACAGTGTGTTAAGGACACAATTCTGCAGCGGACTGCCTGGGCAGAGCTTCACATTCAAGAACAGATCCTGTGAAGTCCACATGGTTCTCTACAGATACAGGGCTCATCCCATGCAGAAATGATAGCAGAATTGAGGCCTTAAAAGATCAGGGCCTCAGATAGTTATTTCCTCATGACACAGCACTACCAGTTCGCATTCGCAGGTCAAGTCCCAGTGCAACAGCGCACTTAGTTGAAGCAACAGCTATTTTTTCCATGCCTTTCTGCAGTAACTCTCCTCCCTATCTGTACATTCCCTTCACTTTCTTCTGGACTGTGGAAGTGAGACCAAGAAAAGGAGATTCCCAAGACCTAAACAAGTACTTATCTTCAGTATCATGCTAAACTGATGGGATCCAAATTGGCCTAAAATTGTAAACAGCGAGGTGTCAGTTTTAGCAATCTCACTCAGGTCAGACTCTTGCATTACTCTCCTCTTCCCTCCTTGCCAAGTATCTATAACTCTCTCTACATGTATTTTCCTCAAAGGATTCCTTTTTCCCTGTAGGTGTCTGAACTTTAAGAAGTTTGCATTCCAAAAGTGACTCACTAGGGTGAGTCTATCAAACTAACTGCAGACTATCAAACTAACAGATTACATCTGTATGACAAATCTGTATCATCATGAATTAAATGACTGTAATTTCTCAATTAGCATTATTAGCATCTCCACAGAAGTTTCGATAAGCCTATTCTTTCTATCTTTCTCCCAGTCTTTAACTGTGAGTTTACCTATCTTCACCATGTTACAATGGCAGATAAAAAGATCAGAGTAATTATCAGAACATCTAGAAAGCCAGTCAAGAGAATTGTAGTGCTGCAAAGGCAAAACACTAGCACTAATAAATGATTTTCCTCTTTATGGATTAGATGTATGTTGCCAAAAATATGAGATTTATGCACTAAGACAAATCTGCATTTCTCATTTTGTGCTTAGCAGCTAAAACTCTACAGGAGAACAAAAGCCTATCTGGATTTTACAAAGGTCCGAGATACCTCGTCTCTCACTAAAAATGAAAACTCCTAATCAAAAGGAACAGAGCCTTTTTATGCTCAGGGGCTTACAAGACTGAAGCAGCAATACTCTCTCCTGTGCAGGTCCATTATTTCAGCTATCTACAAAAAAATAGTTTTTTCCGCACAAGTGGTTTTATTACAGTATTCCCAAAGCTGCTGGCCTTCCACTGTACATCCCAACCTGAAATTAATTTGGTACAATTAGTAGCAGTCCTGCAAATAATGCTGAAAGTGATTTATACAGTTAGAACACCTTGGGCTTTCAAACAGCACAGCAAGAAAATGTAGAATTGCCAGAAAAGACATAAAATGTTACTAGAAGAACTGCAAAAAGCCTCTTAAAAAAAAAAAACAAATCAAAACCACTTTTTCTCCCAACACAAGTTTATAGTACACTACCAAAACTATGACTAACTATGTAGATGAACAAGTGATAGGACCGGTTACCAACATTACATCTGCAATCTGAGATACATCCACCTGATCCCAGCACAGAATGCTCCACAGTAAAGCAAAGACACTCATGACTCCAGCACTTGCTAAAACTTCACAATAACCACAGGAGAGTAAAGACTTTTTCCTGTGGGAGTTAATGAGATCTTTGTTACTAGCTTCAGTGGGAGCAGATCTTGGCAACAGGTGAAAGATTAAGCTTCTAGGGAATTTTTAGATACAAACCCACATTATTATAAGGAGATATAACTATGTGGAGGTTAGGAAATCATTTATGAAAGCAATACTGTATTAAATGTTGTGCATCATTTATTCATAGCCTGTTTCTTCTGTAGAGTAAGATAACACTCATTGTCCACTTATCTCATCACAGTTTATATATTTTCAAAGTTAGTACTGTGAAATGGCCACGTGATGTCAATCCACATCCCAATGAAAGTCAAAAACTGCTCTTTCCTGGCATTCCCTGCAGTGATGCTGAAAGGTACACACTCCCTTTATTTTCTCCCCTTGGAGATGGTCCCTTTATGGCTGGAATAGGGTAGGCTGACATCAGGCACACTTATGGCCTCTACAGAGCATATTCCAAGGCTAGAGAACTTCAGACTCTAACAGTGTCAATTCAGCATTTTTTAATGTTCAAATTGAGCTAAAAGAGTATTGATCTTCTTATGACCATTATGAAAACATACCCAAGTTATCACATACAGATAGGATTGTCATCAGAGTCAAAAAAACAAGATGATATAGGTAATTGTTCTGAGAGGAGCAGAGAGCTCTGAAGCAGTAAACTTCCTGAGACTGCAAAAACAGAGGAAGGAATTCAGCATTGCACAGTATCTTTTGTCTGGCAATATCTGCACTCCTTTAAATAGTTACTACCTTCTCATCTACCTTTAAAGATGCTGCTTCTCAACACAAAAATAAAATGAAAAAAAAATAAAATTCTCCATCTACAGAAGTTGAGCCGCACTCACTCTAAAGTGCGATTTTCCAGTTTTGCAACCCATAGACACATGAATCACAGGTTGTGCAAATCTGCACTGTCCTACAGGGAAGCACAAGAGTTTGCTAACAGTCTTCTCTGAGAGAAAGATCTAATGAACATTCACTGTTGGTTTCCATTGTGTAAGCTTTTAATATAACAGAAATAAAACAACAGAATTGCACATACTAATCTCACTGACTGAATATTTTGCTGTTAAAATGCCATGACATACTGCAAAATCAGATCCTGTACACAATATGTAAGTATTTAAAAGATATTCCTAAGCACAGTAAGATCCAAATGAAGGACTAGCAACTCCTTGCCCAGTTACAATACCCTTTAGCTTTACAATTTAAACAGGAAGCATGACTTTCAAGAACAGCCAAAACTAACTGAAAATTTAGAAATTATGAATGCAAAAAGTTGCTACATTTACGTGCTGTCAGGGTTGTTTGTTTTGTTGCTGGTTTGTTTGTTTGTTTTTGATCCACGGTTTGGCCTTTATCACCAAAATAAAACAAAAACCAGTACATACCAAAAATATCAGTCCAAACCAGCAATACTTGATACAGGTAGAGATATATGCTGACACTTCAGCAATATGGAACTAAGCTATTCATTTATTTCATAAGAATATCCCAAGGTTATCTCAGATCTTTAGAATCCAAAAATTATAATAAAATCACTTACTAAGTATACTTTGGTAAAAACACTTGCTTGACTTCAGAACATGGTCCATTAAAAATGATAGGTCAATAACTATATATGCTCTTTACAAAGGTTATGCTGTCAAAAACTGGTTATGAATCCTGGCTTTTGAAATTTTTATCTTTTTTTTTAAAATTAAGTTTACAACAGCTGCTTCTTCTCACATTTTTCTCTTTGCCTTTCTGCTCTGAAATTAGCGGTGGAATCTCTTAACATAAAGTCAAAATAATTGTTCAACATGATAGCACTGAGCTATGCTGGTAACTAGTCATGCCTCATAATTTTGGCACTTGTGCTTCTGAAAGCTTTCAAAATTATTTTTCTTGAGGTGTGTGCTATTTATCAATCCCCAAGCATCAATACTCTCCTGTCTTACAAACCCCATTTTGGCTAAAGCATGGTCCTGTACTTCTTTCCTAGAAATTAAGAACTCTTTTTCTTACCACACACTTTTCTTCCCACTTCTTGAGATTTTAAGTTTCCTCAATATTAAGAGCAGATTCTTGTTATGCTGATGAAACTCTTACAACGGAACTTCCACCTACTTCCTCCATCTTCTACACACAATAAACATCCCCACAATCTGTCCAAGCTTTCATCTACCCTCCCACACCAGCACACGGGTTTTGATACTTAAGATGCCTGTTGTAACTCTGGGAGATCACTGGCTGTCTTACTTTTATAAAACAGATGAAGAAAGTACTCTTTCACCGCCGCAGTTCTCCTGCAGTCAAGAGACAGAAAACTGTAATTTTTGGCAGCTAACAGCCATTGTTTTGCTGGAGCTAATACTCCTTTGGTAGTCTAAACTGCCAAAAGTCTTGGGGATCAGCAGCTCAGAATAGCACCTTTTCCATGATTGCTAAATCGTTAACAGAAGACTAGATCCTGTTTCAGCAAGATACCATAAAAGGAAGTGATCCTCATAAACAAAATAAAGGAAAAGGCAGGTTACAGCAGTGTAGGTGTGGAGCAGAAAAGCAACCACGTTTACTATTACATGGGCCATCTCAGTATGGCACACTGTGCCTTGTTTCAATACATCTGCTGTACTTTTCTGCACTGAAGTCTCACACATCACAGGCTGCTGTTTTCCTGGTGTCTTTAGTTCTACACTCACAGTACTCCACAATATGCTACACTGTACACACTGTACCAGAAGTGAGCTGCAGTATTAAATAAAATTCATTCTACTGCAGGGAAAAGAGTCTTAAAACACAGCAGTTCTTTATATATAACAGACACTTTCATTTAAAACTCCCTCTTTTCTTCCACTCGAGTGCTGAAGTGAAGAGTCACTATTCACACAGGCTGTCACGGACTTTGAGATGTGAACTTTGAGTGTCTTGACAAAACCCCAATAGGTAAGCTTATTGTAGTTCATAGTTACAGTGAGAAAGACAGATAAGAAAGTCATATACAGAATTAAGGAGACTTTGCACTTTTCATCATGCCCAGCCCTGGGTAGTCAGATGGGGTACTTGCAGGCAAGGAGGCAGGCAGGGTCATCGTCAGTTGTTTGTGTTGGGACACCTCATAGATTTCACTGCTCACTCTGAAGACTGGCGATTCATGTGTGCTTTTTGATTTCTTTGTTTTTAAAAGTCTTTAAAGTTGCATCACTCGGAATCAGATAAGTCACTTTAAACAAAGCAAAGCATTAAGTGTGACAATTTATTTATAACATACTTCCCACCATCACCACCACAAACCACCCTGTGAAAGAAAAACCCCTGCTGAAAGGGTGACAATTTTTAGTATGTTTGAAAGAAATTAGACCAACAAACACTGCATCAAGAGCCACTCTTGTCAAATTAAGAGCATAACAGAGGGGGAGATAGTTCAAAGCATACATTAAGTGTTCTCCATTAGCCTGCTTCTCCACTTCCTTAAGATGTCAACACACAATTGGTCTAAACTCATACCAGTTTCCACATGATGTTTAAAAGACAAGCTGGGCAAGAAGTCTTTAGTATAGAAAATAAACCCCAATGCTTTTTAAATATACTTTTCAGATTTCAATAGAGGAACTGCGAACTTAGCCTCAACATCTTCTATCCCACATTTATTCCTTAATATAAATATTATCCCAGGAAGTATAGCCTAAGAGTTCTGACACAGCCACTATCTTAAAACAGCTTCTCTTGTTAAGAGGACTTCTAGACATATACTTCTGGTAAAGCTTCTGGTTCTTGCAGTTGTAGGTCATGTAGAAGGTCCCAACATCACACACAACATATTTTTTTTTCTTCTAACACCACATACTGTTGAAGCAGTGCTTGGTGCTGAGAATGGATTACTTCCAAGAGGGCAAGCCTTGTGTGCTAATTTTCTATCAGGAAACATGCTGGACAGAGAACCAGCAAGCATGGAAAGACCAGATATGCTGCTACACAGGAGAGATAGGGAGGCAAAACTGTTTGTGTTTACAGTGGGTGTAGCTTATCCCATGGAGTGCTCAGGAGGCAAAGGACCAAAACTCTTTCTCAATCTCTTGCACAACAGGTAAGGTGCAGTAAAGTAACAGTGGCTTGTTTACTTCTTAAAAAAAGCCTCTTCTTCCAAAGCATAAGGTACTGGCCTTTTTTTAACAGATGGGACTCAAGGTTCAGCCTAATGAGCCAGACCTCTCTTTCTAAATCTCCCTTACTTCTCAGTTAAGTGCAACATGCTGTTTTATCAGCAATTCGAGAGAGAAGTTCCTCTAAGGAAAAAAGGAGGAGTGGTGGTAGAAATACAGCCCAAAACCCACAGCAAATTATTTTGTCCATATTTGTAAAGCAAGTGATTCACTACTGTTCTTTCTCCTTGGTTTCTGCAAGTTATCTAGGATTAGAACCTACCAAGACATTTGAACAGTATTTTAGTCAGAACTGCACTGACTCTGTTCTGCATAACACTCATGAATTAACCTTGCAATACTTTTGTTTTTACAAGAGATTGAATATTTTTCTGTCTCCCTGTCCAAAAGGTCCCCCTATTCCTCTTCAACAGGAACAGAGTTCTATACAACAGGTGCTTTCTAGTGCCTCTGAATGGGAGAGGAAACAATTTCATGATGCTGCCCCGCAACATCTACTTATACCCTAAAATTGTGGTTTATAGTTTTATGGGGGAGGGAGGGTGGAATGGAGAAAAGAATAAGAGTTTGAAAATAAAAAAAAAAAAAGTGAGAAGAGTCTCCTAAGCTCTTTCTCCACTTAAAATGAAGATTAGAACAGATAGCAAAAACCCTGTCCAGTCAGGAGGGATCCACATTTATTCCTCCAGACAGGTGAATCTGTTCTATTGTATATCAGAAAATGTTCTATTGTTGTTAAAAACAAAGTTGTAAATATGGACACACAGATTTTGGGCAACGCAATGATCAGGAAAGGGCCTGAACAAGTTGTGCCAACAGAAACAGGATTTTTTTGTGTTTTGTTGGGTTTTTTTAATAGATGTAAAATGGCAAAGCCTCCATAAACTTTATTTCTGGGAGTCTCTACGGAAGGCAGAGAAGTTTAAGAGGCTAGGACAAGGAGCCCTAACAAGGAAAAGGGGTGTGCTTACAAGGGTCCGTATCTGGTCTCGTATTTAGAAACAATGTTCTTGCATCGTCCCACTTCCTTGCGCAGCTCTGCAACCTCCGTCCTCAGGGCTGTGTTTTCTTTCTCAAGAAAGGCTGCCCGAATTGTGATCTGATTCTCCTTTAATCGCCGAGCATCACGGGAGCGCTTGGCTGCCACATTGTTCTTCTTTCGTCTTGTCCAATATTTTTCATCCTGTAATTAAAAAAAAGATGCCAAACTGACAACTGTATCAGAGACACCTCTTTATTGTATAATGACAATCATACTGATTGCTATACTGAGGAATCTCCTTCATAGGTTTGCAGGACTCTGACATCAAAATGGAAGCAATGCAGTACTGTAAGATTTTATCCTTACACGAGTCTTGTTTTAGGATAAACCAAGTGCACTGCTAGAACTAAGGAGACTAAGAGACTTGGGTACTAAAAAGCTGTCCAGCTGAAATGCTCCCTTTACTTAGTTTCAATTCAGGAACGAACTTCCACAGAAAACCACCTGTTCTGTTGTCTAGGTTGCTTAAATCCTGATCAGACATAATGCCAGGCAAATACAGACAATGGCCTTCAAAAGTGCAAGTGATGAGGATTTGACTTGATAGTTCTTCTAATTTCTGTTTATAGCATGATCAGTTGCTCCTGGCCAGTAATTATCTCATGATACCAAAACCTGCAAAACAGCAAGCACAGCAGTTGGCTTGCCAATTCTATTCTTGGCAGTGCTTCTGCCCAATCATATAGGTATACTGCATTAGCTGTGTACATCAAAGTGTTCGCACAGAAAGTTGGGAACTTTTATCAAGGCCTAGAGAAGTCTGCAGCAATAAATCTGTTACCTTTTGCTCATCTGGGACAAAAACTTTCTTGGCTTTTTTAATCATAGGTTGTGGTTTCAGGTCCTCTTCAGTAAACTTGTGTTTGCGAGGATTGAAGAGCTCACCACCAGGCACACTGGACAGCACTAAATCAGCAGGGTCAGGGTTAAAATTCACCTCAACTTCTACGCAGTCAGGATCGATGGGGCTGGGAGTATTTCTCTCATTTTGTGGTGGGGACTCTGGCAACAACAGGAGAAGTTACAATACATTCAGCAGGTTGAAGAGAATCAACTAAGAAGCCAACTTACGTGTCTATTTATTGTCCTGTTGTGAGCAACTATAATTAATAGTATCATTTGGTACTTCCCTGAGGTGTGCTTGGTGCTGTACTGCTGCTGGTACAGAGGAAGGGTTCACAGTCCAGTCTGTAACATAACTCTAGGAACATATGCCAGACTAACAGACATGAGTAGACAGATGCAGTACAGGAGTTAATACTTCCTTGGCAAAAATTACATGCTTTGCACCTCCAACGGCAGTAAGAAGGGAGAAACTTGTACCAGCCTGAATTTTTTACCACAGAAATCCCTACAGAAACAAGCCTGGTCAGAGATCCCAGTCCCTGGGACCTTGGAAGGTCAGACAACTATATTTCCAAAGAAATGACTAAATAAAGGAGGGTTTGTTACAAATGTAACTGCATTCTGCTTCTTTACCATATAGCAACAAATGTACCAATAGACTGTCTGACACTGATAATGTTCGTATGAACTTTACCATATTAATCTATTGTTTAGAAACTTCATATACATGAATTATAAATGTCAGTGCAGTTTGCAGTAGTGATCAATGAATAAGTTTTTTCATATACCGCCTAGAAAAAAGCCACACTCTATGACTTATGGAAGGAGTTCCACATTGTATCTCTCACAGATTTACAGAAGAGGCCCAGAGCAAAATGCTTTCTGTAAAGCCTGCTCATAAAACAGTATTATGAAAATTTAGAGGCTATCATGTTTAAACTCCAAATCTAGGGCAAACTGAGCTGCTGAATTCCTTAACAGACAAGATCTCCATATTACAAATGTAGAGTGAAAGTTTCCTAGTACCATTTCAGTACAGTTCTGTTTCTGTGTTCCCCCATTCCCACTTCAAAGCACCACAGAACATCAAATTGCATCATTAAAACATCTTTTCCAAGTGTCTGTTCTCACACTTCACAGGATACCACAAAAAAATTGCTTCACTGTTTTTCTACTTAATATTGTTATTTGAGGTACATTAAGTTCATGTAAGTTCACCCAAGCAGACCAAGGCAGCACACATGACTTGTGACAAGCTGTCAAATCTGTTGTAAAATAACCTGAGAAAATATTTTCTCAACATGTCTGGCTTCTCACTAGATTAGCAATACCAAGAAATCAAATACTTTATGTTGCTGTTTCAGCTCTTCTAATTTCAAAAGAGAAACAGAGTGCACACTGATAGACATTCATTTTTCACAGGAGCAGGAGAGAGGAAGAAGAGAAGAGGCAGCATCTTCATGAATTGACACAGGGACTAAGGCTCTACATTGGACATGTTTGTGCTACTTAACCTGCCCCACCTAACGCTGACAGGTTGGCATGTCTCCTCTTTGATCTGAAGAGGCATCTTTTAGTATGAGAACAATAGAAGTCCCTCAGAGCCCCGTATTGTTCCATCTACCTGTGCTGGAGGCTGCTTCAGATTGCTGGTAAACTGCAGTGGAGGAGGAGGATGCAGGAGAACCAGTGGAAGCACTGGCAGACTCCTTTCCTTCCAGCTCAGCCACAGGCAAGAGTGGATTCTGGTTCAAATCCAGGTGAGTAGGGCTGGAAGGAATTCCATTCTCCAGCAGGAACTCATCCAGATCCATGTACTCCAGGTGGAAAGACTCGCCATCATAAGGAATAGTTTTGTCCCAAATAGGTGGCATAAGGGAAGCCGAGACTGCCATAGTGCTGGCAGCTGCTGCCTCATCTTCTTCAAGCTTTATTTTCTCCTTCTCTTTATCTGAAAGATACAAGTAGGTCACTGTACAAGCTGAAACACAGGAGAGACTCAAGGTTTAAGAGTCTAACAAAATCCACATGAAAGGAAATTCAGAAAGCTAATAGTTCTGGATCGTGACATTATCTGGAAAAATCAGCCGTTGAAAAGCAACATTGATGCATTCACATGTAACTCCGTATGGAACGCTCTAACCCCCCCAGGATGGCTGGACCACAGACATTTGAGCAGCCTTGAAAACCAGCATCTTTGCTGTGATAACTTTCCAAAGTGTGATGTAGTACTGCATGGAGCTTATTAACCAGTCACTGCAAAATAGCTGGTTTTTCACATACCCATCTCAGAAGACAACAAAAAAGGATTATATGGGAAGCCATTAAGAAAATTCCGAGGAAGCAGAGTAGCTTATTCTAGGCAAAAAGAAGGAAGGTACAGAACAATAATTTAAGTACAAATATGAAAGGAATATGGGTTTTCAGATTACATTTTAAAATCAGTCAAAAGGTCCACAGGACACCAGAGACCTGGATGTCTATTGTTTAGCATTTTAGAAGCACTTCTCTCTGAAATGACTCAGCATGTCCACACAAAGCAATAGCTCCAAGTGCTGCTCACTATAGATAGCTCAGAGTACCTACATACAATTTTCACTCTTTGGGGAGCTGTCTAATAAGGAATACTCCCACATCCCACCCCCAAGTCACAAGAGACTGATGAATTTTTCTCCATTTACTCTGCAACAGTGCACATATTACAGAAAAAAGGCTGTTTCTATGTTCCCCATAGCTACTGAATCTTAACAATTGTCTGGGACAGAATCCAAGCAGAAAACTCAAGTTATGGAATAATTACATAATTTAAGAGATAAAAATAAGCTGGCAGAAAAAAAATAATTTAAAAATCCAAATCATTTTCCTGATCCAGTTTTCCATGCAGCCATGCAGTTCTATCAGCACTGAAGAAGGCATTGCAGAAGCAGTGCTAGTGCTGCCAGCACTGAGCCAGCACTGCTGTCAAAAGGAACGGTCACCAGTCGTGCCCTAACCAACTGCAAATCGGGTATTACCATGGAAGCCAACAAATATTCAGTTCAATGAAACAGGGACTCCAAGGACTTGCCCTGGACTAGTCTGGATCTCCAGCATTCACAGAGGTTATCCCAATAAAATGCACCAATTTTTGGCATTAGGGTTTTCTAGCAACATGCTAAAGGAGTATTTTTCTGTGTCGGGGGTGGAAGTGGGGGTGAAACTCTGCTATAAAATCAGAAAAGCCTATTTATATAAAACCTATTCTGACAGAAGTGGCATTCCTTCCGCTGTTGCCTTAGCTGGTGTGGAACTGAGACTGAAAGAGCTTTTTATGGCTTAAAGAACAGTGCTGCCATACAAAGTAAATTATCTACCATACTCTGAATATTTTACACAAAAGAAGACACTGATTTTAAACTAAGCAGTTCAGAAAGTATTCAACAGTCACCGACTTGAGACTAAGAGCAAGTACTTAAAGGACATGTTAAATTCAGACCAGTGGCTCCTGGACCTAAGCTTTATTAACATCACCTTGCAGCTTTTGGCCTTCCCCTTGCTACTTCACACTGCTGCCTCTGAACTGCGATCTCCCAGCTCCTATCCCTGCTATAAAGTCTTTTTTTGCAGGGAGTTTTGCAACTTTCCTACCTTTTGCTTGGGCGAAGCAAACATGCAGGTTAACAGTCATAATGCAAATAACCATAATGTTTCTAAACAGCTCCTACTTGAAGCTAGCAAAGAAACAGCACCTAATCCACATATAATTATGATTTCACTTACTAATGAAGCACACCCCACCAAATTGGAACCAACATTTTACCAGTGAATGTATTTCTCCAAGGTTTGCATAGTGCCCAGCACAACCAAACTCAGATTTACACTGGAGGTTGTAGATGACATCATAGTAAACATATCACCAAAACAAATGGAAGTGACAATCATTTATTCTTTGCAAGTAACTATTTTTTAATTAACATGATTAAAAACTTGCAAATGTCCATCAAAACGTCAAAAAAAAATAAATTCTTCGCTCTTGAAAACAATAGGGTACCATTACAAGTTTTAACATAAGCCAGGAGTGCTTTTGTTTTGCAACGTCTAATACAACACCTCCAAGAGAGGAGAAAAGAAACATTAAATGATTAGTGACCGAATATAAGGCTAATTATTAATATTTTTCAGAAGGAAGATGCTAAAGGACTACACTAGTGAAATATGTGGCTCTTCTCAGATCTTTAAATGCCTTTTAGATGTGCACGATCATCCTGCTGTCCTTCAGTAACCTGGAAAAATTGTGGTTCCTCCAGCTTCCTCTTGTGATTGTCTGGCTCCCACCAAATTAGAGTTTTCCTTCCCACGAGAAAAGCATCTGAAATTTTGTGTCCTTTTGCTGAGTTGACAACCGGCAAATACTGGGTCCCCAGTGCTGTCTTTGTTTATCTGTGCTGTTTCTCTCTCCCTCCTCCCTCACTTCTAACAATATCGGAAACAAAATATCAGAAGGAAACACACATATTGGGTGCCCATCTATTTCAAACATTATAAGTCAAATGATAAAACCTTCATATGATCAGTTTTGCGTTGGCATTTTCCCACTGGCTTTCTTTCAATTAATTTAATCTTTATTTCTGCCGCACAAAATCCTGTTTGGGTGCACAATATCTAATGAAACGCTAATTAACTTCTTGCATCTTGAGGGGGACATTTCTGCCTGCCTCAGCACAGGGGCCTGAAACATTAATTCTCTTAAGATATTTATAGTGTAAACAGGTATTACCTGACAGTAGAGCTGCAGTATCCTAAGAGGCTCCATTTGCAGTGATTCAAGGTCACCCTGATAAATCTGGACTGTACTTCTGCAGCCGATGGCTCATGTCTGATTTAGCCCCCTCATTCTGCTACTGTGACCTATTAACTGGGCTGTACATCTGCTGTTAATAGGGAGCACACCAGTTTATGCTCAGTAATTTAAGTAGACCATTCCAGTTACTGAACTGTTGGAAATACTGCTGTTTTAGCCAAAAGCAGCAGCCTGAAAAGAGCTTTATTCCGCATCCTAGTTTTTCCTCAAAAACAAAAAACTAACCAAACCGAAAACCAACCAAAAGATTTTGGCCACAGCTGTCAAGAGCTACAGCCACAAACAGAATAAACACTTCTTTGATAAACTTCGCCTTGTTCATCAAAAAATACTGTCAAATTATACAGAAAACACTATACAGACTATGGCTGATTGCTCCATAAATCTTTAGTCCCACTTGTGAGGATGGAACAAGACAGGTTGTGGGGTTCCAAATCCCTGATGCCCATTACTGTGATGTTTGTTGAGGCATTACTCCTGCCACAGCAGTGCAACTGGTGATTAAGGCATCCTTTGGAGAGTATGCAGCAGCTCGTTATTAATATAAGAGACCTACACTCCTGCTCCAGAATATTAATTCTCTTCCCTTAACCCACAGGACTTTTTTTTTTAAATAAAAATATTATTTTTATTTAATTAATTCCTACAACATACATGACAACAGCCCCCAGCAAGGCTGGTCAGCTATACCCAGTATATGGCAGGGCATTCAAGGGGATGGCATTCTGCTAGAACTGGCTGACCTCCCTCCTCTGTTGCTCAGGATTAGAAAGCCTGCTTGCTTACTGGGTAGTCAAATTACCCACGGCAGTTGGAAAACCCACAGGTAGCTTGTGGAGACCATAAATGGACACCACAGCTAGTTGATACTATTTCTCACAGAGTAACACAGAAAACTGTATTTTTGTCAACAGGCATTCCAGACAAAAGGCACAAGGTCTTTTCTCAGAAAGCTTGCTGAAACTGCAACACTGGATTAAGTGAATTAGTAATAATTTACCATTTTGACTGTGTCTCTATACTGTTAATGGAACAGAAAATAAACAAGAATCCTCTGAAGTCAGTTGAATCACAAGTCTACTGACAAGCCTTTTGTAAAATTAGGAGTAACTACCAGCTGACAGCAAAGGTATTCTTTCTTTTGTCTTGCAAATATGCAAACAAGAAAAGCATCAGAGACAAAAATAAACAGAAAGCAACAAGTTCCAAAGTGTGAAGTGAAACAGAACAAGGTGAACTAAGGAAATCTATGGAGAATTTAAAAGAATGAGAACCTGAACTTTATCACACCATGAATGGAGAGGGGTAATCAAAATGCAATGGACTCTCTAGTAAGGTTTAGAGGCTCAAGCTGAACATCTTCCCGAGCTGGAATGGGGTCATCTAGTGAAAGTATCAAATGTTTCTAATTTTAGAAAAAGGCACTACCTCAAAATCATATTCATTTCAGAATTTCACATCTCCATAGGCTAGATCATGTGATTCTGGGCACAAAAAGCACTCCAAGACAAAGTCACCATATCCCTGTCAGCCACCATCACTGTTTCTATTCGTGAACTTAAATTGTTCCTGCTGGCTCTATTGCCTTTAAAAAGGACTGGGTGCAGAAACATCCTAAGAAATCCTGTAATTTTGTAGATTCAAGATTCTGTGTACTGCAGCATCCTGCACCAAAGCAACATAACTAAAACCTTTACCACAAGTTGACCTTTTTTTAACAGAAAGAAGAAAAAAATACTCACCAGAATCACAAAATGGATACATTTACAGGGTACCATGCAATAACAGACATATAATGTAACTAGGATCCTCACTGGGAACAATCTTGCCAACCTATGCTGTGGTCTACCCTGGATATTCTCTGCAGTTCCAAAAAATGATTCTCAACACCAAAATTCTTAAGTGTAAGGACTCACTTTATTATACACCAGTACAGTAGGCACTATAGCAGTGCAGATAATCCTGAGCCTTTCCTCGAAATGAAACTGATACTCAGAAAGGCAAAAATACTGTCGGGTGAAGAAAAAAAATCCCGAAGTGTGCCATCAGCAGCGAAGACTACAAGCACCAGCCCTGCTATTTACACAGCTGCCGCCTGCACATCCAGTGGGAGAGCGGCAGCTCCAGCCCATGCAGGGCTGCATGTGAGGCAGCCAGTCATACCCTCCTGGATTATCACCCAACCTAATCTGAGGGGATCTGCTGTTTACGCGTCTCATCGGGCAACTTCTCAGCAATTAAGGTCAAGCAAGACTCGAAACCTTCCCACCGCTGCTCCCAACTGCGCGTCTACCGGCGAAGGAGGCTCCAGGCAGCCCAGAGACCAAACCCAGCATGTCACGTCCCGGCCCCTGCCCACTCCCCGCTCCCGCAGCGCCCGACTTTGCCCAGCGCAGGCACCCACACGCTCCCGAGGGCCTCTGGCCCGGGAGGAGGGAGCGATCCCGTGCTGCCGGCACTTGGCACGGCCGCGCGGGGGGCGGGGGAGGGAGGGACGGGGCGGAGGGAAGGGGCCCGGCGTGCGGCCTCTCCCGCGGGTACTCCCCCCGCGGCCAGTCCCGCCGTGACCCGGCGGGTCCCGCCCTCCGAGCCGCGGGGCGGGAAGGTGACGGTGGGGAAAGGGAATGGGGGGGGTGGGGGTTGGTGTACGATTGGGGGGCGCCGCGCGCCCCCGCGGCCCCCGCGCGCGCCCCCGCGCTCACCCAGGCGCGCCTCCCGCGGTGGGTTCTCCATCAGCTTCTTCAGCACCAGCGGGAACGCGCCCGCCAGGCCCCGCCGCTCCTGCTGCGCGGCGGCCCCCGCGCTCCCCCCGGCTGCAGTGGGCTCCGGTCCTCCCGCCGTCGCCGCCGCCTCCTGGTGCGCGGCGCGGCCGGGCATACTCCCCGCGGGCGGGCGGGCGGGCGGGCTGTCAGTGGTCACCGGCGGCGCGGAGCTGCGGCAGCGGCTCCCGGGACGCGGCGGCGGCGGCGAGCGCGAACCAAAGGACGCAGGCGCGGCCGACTGACGCCCGGCGCGTGCTTCAGTATTCATGAGCGCCGGGGCCCCGCCCCGCCCCGGCCCCTTCGCGCGCGCCTATTGGCCCGTGTATGCCGAAGGGGGCGGCCCCGCGCCCGCAGGCCACGCCCTCCCTGCCCCGCCCCCCCCGCAGCCGGCGCGGGCACGCGCCCCCCGCCCGCCGGGGCACGTGCAGGGGCGGGGCCTCCGGAGGGTCATTAGCATGCGGAGCCCCGCCCCCTTCACCTCCTCCCGCGGGCGTTGCGTCACCACCAGGAGGGCGGGAGGGGGAGGGAGCGCGCGTGTGGGCGGTAGAGGAGGAGTGGCACCCTCCTGCAGCGGGGCGCGCGCCCGCCGCGCGCCTCCTGCGGCTGCGCGCGTGTGCTCCCCCTCCCCCCCATCCCCGTGCCGGGCGGCAGCTGAGGGGGCCGTGACCGCGCGGGGGCCCGTGAGGGCGGCACCGGCTGCAACAGCCTTCCTCGTCCTGCCCCGGCCCCAGCGCTCCAGTCGGACCTTGAATATCCTCGTTTAGGATCCCGAGATCACCTTTCCCGCGTGCCCTGGGTTTAATCTCCCTCCGTCCCACACGGTGCTCACAGCGGCGTGCGCTGTATAACACGGGCAGGGAGAAGGGCTTCGCTGCGGTGCTGTCACGGCCGGGCTTCTGGGGAAAGGGCCGTCCCTCCCAAGTTGTCATGATGGCAAGCAATCCTTACTCCATCAGCACGGATGCCGTGCTGAGATTTGAGCCTCTGAGCACACAAAGGGAGCGAATGATGCCAAGTCCGTTCCCGAGAGCACAGGCGGACACCCAGGAGCGTCTCCCACAGAATGAATTCGCTGGCAAAGTGGCAGATGCCTGAGCCTCCTGTCAGCAGGCGCTGCCTCTCGCCTCGGCAGGACGGGCCGCAGCGAACCCGCCGCCCAGCGCCCTGGGCCGGGAAAGGGGAGGGTGCCCTCCCCCGGGATCGGCCCCTCTGCACCCAACAGAGCCGAGGGAGCCAGAGCGGAGGTATCCGCACAAGTGCCAACAGAAAAGAGATACCCTCCTGTCAGGTAGTCACTTGGACATCGGCTTGGCTCAGCTTCCCATTCACAAGCCTCAGACATTTCGTTTTGGTGGCAGGGCACGATTTGCCCTGACCCTCGCTAATAAACCCCGATGGTCTTTGTGACAAAGAAAAAAAAATCAGGTCTGAACTCCTCCCCACACGCCCCAGGGAAAGGAATGGATTTGAAATCACATGGGCTACGTGTTTTCCTCCATTCTCTTCCTGTAATCACGACCAGGAGACATCTCCATCCAACCTGGGCAGACAGGGAGCTGCCCTGCCCTCCAGGTGCTTCTCTAGCTTAGACTAGGAGGCTGAATCTGCTGCCTCCAACTCCTGACGCAACTCCTGCACACAGGCTGCCCGATGGTAAGCTTGGATAGGGCCACCTTGTTAATACAGGCTGGAACAGCACAGGTTAATGCATCGTTTATCAAGGCTGATAAATCCAGTTGCAAGAAGCAGGCAGAGCAGGTCATGCTCTGCTGCTCAGCATGCTCCAGGGCTGCTGCATGCCCTCCACGGACTCCCTCTGCCTTGCCAAACTCAGCTGGCAGGAGAAAAAGGCACATGTGTGAAAGGGAGATACCACTTTATGCAGGGCAATGAGACACAGATGTTGGAGGACCACACACAGCAGAGGCAGCACACACAGCTCGGCAAGGGGCAGTGAGCTCACAGCGATGCTTTTGCCTGGGAGACATCTACCGACAGGTGGTAGATAAAGAACACAGCATAGTGAGGCCAGGAAGGAGCAGCTTCTAGGAATAAGGCAAGGGGATACAGCCAAAGCAGGGCAGGCTGCAGGCTTCCCATTCAGTTATGGCTCTCGTGGTCACTTTGTTCCATTGTTGTCAACACTGGTGGCCCCCGGGGGTGATGCCTCGGTACTGTACAACACTCCTTCAAGGAACAGGGTCTGCACATCCCCCCTGCAGAGCTCAATGGAAACTGCTTTGCTGGGTAATGTCCGTAAGAATGGAGGTTATTAAAACCACTCAGCAGCTTTTACTCCAGGGCTTTTCTGTTTAGATCAACCATGTTCTTCTTCCAGCACATTTCCACCCGCACTCCACTGTGCTAAGGTTTGCTCTGCACCACCGCTGAGCTGTGACTTTGCTTTGAGAGAGTTTAGCCTGTACAGTGTTAGCTGCTCGGCCTGAAGACAGGAGGGAGGGAGTATCTGGGGAGCATTCCTGTGGGTTCCCTCGCACATCACTCTGCTCCAGCATTAGCTCTGCCCTGCCAGCTAGGAGAGAGACTGCCTTGAGAGCTTTTCCTCGCCTCTGGGGATTAGGGGCTCTAGCAATTGCCAGCAGAAAGCGGGCATTGCACCATGAGCTGTACCTTCTTGGTTAAGGTAGGATCTGCCTGGGATTTTTACGTTTTCTTTCACTCTGCGGCTGAGAAGGAAGAGAAGAGGACAATGAAGTGTGAGGAGAGGAATGCAGCAGCCTTGGCTGTTAGTGCTGGGAGTCTTGTCAGGGCCAGATGATGCAGAACAGCCCAGTTCTGGTGCAGCAGGGAGGCAAGCAACAAGCAGCCCAGTGCTAGGCATAGGGTGGGGGGACCTGCCCCACTGGGAGGTTTGAATAGCAGAACACATTTCAGACAGAGGCCTGAGAGCCAGCAAATCCAGATGAGTGGTGTGGAAGTGTGGAGATACAGGAGAATCTGAACTGAGCTCTGTGGGAAGAGGGCCAGGATGGGAGTGCTGGCCTGCAGAGGGAGGCAGCATAATAAGGACAATTCTGAGGATTACAGGAGGTGATGCTGAGAGGCAGGGTGGTCCCGGGGTGGAGGAAGAATGCTGCCACAAAACAGCATCCTCAGCTGCCAAATAAGTCACACTGATTTAAGACTAAATTATTCTCCCTGCAAATCATTGATCTCCCTTCTACTCCCTACTCCAAACAGATAGGTCTTGCCAGCACTCCTCCCTTGGATTAATTCAATCCACTTGGCGGTGGAGAGCAGAGATCTGAAAAAAGCAGCCAAACTTAGCTTAGCCACAGCAAGGCTCTGCACCATGTGAGCCTCCCTTGGCCCTTCTGCCTCCTCCCAGCCAGGTTTGCTTTCTGCCTGGTTATCAGTGAGCTTGGAAAAACATGCTCTGGTCCCCACAAACAGTGGGACTTCATACGCTGTGATATATAAGTACACCTCTTATCAGGCAGTCTCAGCAAAGGAGAGAGACTGCTCACAGGTGACAGCAGCAGAGGAATGTGACAAAGTGAGCCCCTTAGGGGGTATGACAGCTCCCCTTGCCCTATTTCCCTTTCCCACAGGGAGTTGTATGTGTGCAACAGAGATTGCTGTATTACCACAGGTGTAGGCAGCTGCTCTTCCTGCCGTGAACACTTTACTGTTGCAGCAACTGCCTTTTCTCCCATTGACTCTGGAGCAAAAGCAGGGTCCCTCTCCACACTGTGTGTCTGGCTTTTCTGCTCCTGGGTCATGCTGTGCTTCAAGACTGCAGAGCTACCTGTGTGTTCTGGTAGCAACTCCCTACAGAAGAGTGAGCTCCGTGCATGTTTGTTTCTGTGAGTTCAACTCACTCATGCCTAGACGTAAGCTTGTTGAGCCGAGGTGTTCCCACACACCTCCCCAGCGCTCAGCAGTGAACATGAAAACACAACAACCAAAAAGCAGCTTGCCAAGGGCATGTGGAATCCTATCCCAAACCAGAGAGTACTCAAGTTGCGTGATGGGCTCTTGGAGCACACCCATTAATTGAGAAGCGGTCAGTCCAGCACAAGCAAAGTGTTCAGCACAGCAGAAGCCCAAACTAAGTAATCTCCTGGTTCCTTTCCAGTTGTTTTCTGGGATGCTGCACAGAGAATGGGAAAGCCTAGTACAGAAATGCTCTTGCAAAGAAAATGCAACATTTACTGTGTTCTCTACCTCAGCTTTCCACTGATAAACAACGGCAGCATCAAAGTTTGCACAGTCAGCCTGCCCCACACAGCCTGGCTCTCTGGGCAGTCTACATCTGGGAAGAAGCAATGTCTGGAGGCTCAGTGGTTATTAACTACGGGACAACATGAATGGCAATCCTGCTATATGAGCATGAAGATTTGTGCCCAAGCCTTTTCTGTGCACAAATCTTTGAGGGTTTCCAAGAAATAGCTGAGGAGAGAGATTAAAAGGATCAGGAGCTCAGCACTCTTTACTGATTTTGTAATCAGTCCATTGCAGCCGTTTTTTCCTCCTAGCTGCATAACATGCTCAGTGCCAGAACTCCCTGTCTGATTTGGACACTTTGGGAAACACACCCTTGAAGGGCTCGCAGCATACAAGATCTTCTGCCCCCTTCTTGCCTTGCAACTCAAAATGGGGAAGGAGAAATCAAAACAGAAATCCCAGCATATATTTCCTTAATCCTACCTGTCATCTTGTTGGTCCAGGGTAAAGAATACTCCAGTAGGGACTTCAGGACTTCCGGAAAGTCCAGGGCAGTGGGGCCCCCAGGGTTGTTGCAGCTTGACATGTCCTGTCCTGAGGCTGTGCCAGCAGGGCTAAGGGAGGGCCAGGTGCCTGGATGCCAATGCTACACTCCGCTTGCCTGGGTGTTGCAAGAAGGGCTCAGAGGCAAACTACTCCGGCTGTGAAAAAACAAGGAGGAAGGGAAGCAGCCTGGTGGAGATGCAGTTTGCCCAGCTGTCTTCACCTCCCCCTCTCCCACTCTGAAGTGGCCAATTGTGGAAATAGCTTGCAGCCTTGCAGGGCTGGGCCGGGCGGCTGGCCAGCGTGGTTTTACAGGGCCTCTCCCAGCCAATCCGGCAGCAAAGAACTGGGCCAGTTATCTAACTTTGCAAAGGCAGCACCCTTTTCCTTCGCAAGGTGTTATAACAAATATACACGTTGGA